CTTGCTGACAGTGAAGCCTGAAGCACTTGCTGATGAAGATTAGGGACTGCAGTCTTCCGTCTAGATGACAACTTACTGTAAAGAAGATCACAATCCTCATGACTGGACCAACAGGAAGCATCACAAAAAGGTAGAAGTGGTCTAGAATTTTGTCTTGTGTGGATCCACAATCACGGCTCATGGAAGCAGCAGGCAAGAGATCAAAGGACTCATTGAGTTAGATAAATCTGCAGCACAAGACCTCTGTAAAGTATAGAAAAGCAAGGATGTAACTTTGAGGACTAAGGTGCTATTTTCAATTGCCTCATAAGCACATGATAGGTTGATATTGATTTTAAAAGACTGAAGAACAATTGATACATTTGAATGATGGTTCTGGCAAAGAATAGTGAAAGTACCAAGGACTGCCAAAAGGACAAACAGATCTGTCTGGGGAGAGGTATAGCAAGCGTGTTCCTCAGAAACACGGGTAGTGAGATTCTGTCTCATGTACCTTTGACATGTTGTCAGGAGAGAGCAGGCTCTGAAAAAGACATGGTGTTTGATAAAGTGGAGGGGCAGGGACAAAGGGGAAGATCTACGAAGGGATGCATGGACACAGTGGCTACAACAGTGGGCTTAACATAACAACTGTGCAAACGGGGTGGGGCAATGCTGTGTTTCATTCTGTTGTTCACGGTCTCAGTGTGAGTCAGAACTGACGTGAAGGCACCTAACAAAAACAACAACAAAGGAAGCTATGACGCCCTGCTCAATTGGCTCAAGTATGGATGTTGATCCACTTCTAGGGGGAGGGAGGGAAAAATACGACCTCTACATTGGGGTGAAGGGCATCTAAAGTGCCAGGATGTCCGGCTGCATCGTCCAGTACAGGAGAATCTTGAGAGGCATTTTCTTGGGCAAGCAATGACACTCACGCAGGGACAAATGTTTCAAGACCCAATCTTCAAAGATGGGAACTGTAATAAAAGCCTTTGTTTTTCCAGCCTTGAAAATTATAGGAAGACATGCCTACATGATAAGGTAAAGTGCCCACAGATTCCAGAAGCTAACCCCAAAAAAGGCTTGAACTTGAAAACCCCACATGCAATACCTCCCAGCAATAGCACTAGCCTAGCATTAGGTTCTTTATGTCTGGTAGAATTCTCCCGCTTTTTCAAACAATAGGTCCTTTCAGGCAAACCTCCCCCCACCCACCACCCACCACCCACCCCCGGCACCACCACCACACACACAAAACTCGTCACATCACATATTTTGTGGTCTCCCACAAAATTTCCCTCCCCAATAAATTATTCCATTATTTCAGGAAAAGCACTCCTACCACTTACAATGGC